CTGTAGTGGCGACCCGCGACCATGGAGATATAAACAGCTTTTTATAAGGTAAAAATAATAAAACAAGGTCTTTGTCTGCAATGATTAGACATGTTTTTTTATAATTGTCATTAGTGATTACATCAATTTCGGCTAAAAGAATTGACAAAATCCTACACACTGTCTTTAACATTGTCTTGCTGAAATGTGCAAGGCATTCCATGAAAAAAAAAAGAAATCTGGATGGGAGCAGATGTTATAAAACCTGTACATATTTTTTTGTGTTAATGCTTTTCCAGTTGTTTTAATTTCTAAGTAAATATATAAAATGAGTAAACTGTTTTATAATGAATAAAAATAGTTTGTGATTGAAAAGTGATTGCATTCTGTTTTATTTTACTCAACATCCCAACTATTCAGGATTGAGGTTACAAATATAAATGTTTTATGTAAATCAACCAGGATCCATGTGAGCCCTTACCAGAGTCGAGGTGTGAGATTACTTGCATCCACGTATTCTCCCCACAAACAAGCTTCTCCACCAATCACGAGCTTCTTCTGTTCTTCAGTTCCTGTTTTATTGTTTTTTTTAAATAAACAAAATCAAGTTTATCAGCAAGTCATGTTCTTCTGGATCAGTGAGGTTAAAGTGAAGTGTTGTGATTAAATGTTAGTAAAAATGATTATGTTTTCCTTTCTTCATTCAACAGGCTTACACTGACTCACACAGCAGTGACACGTCAGATCTGGGTCAGGATTTCAATTCGATCTGAGCCGGATCCAAACAGAACCATAAAACCCGACTCATACAGTGCTGGTCTGGTCTGAGTTATCTACGCACTTTAACAGCAGGCGTAGAGATATAATTGCAAACAAACAAGTGGCGTCTGCATAATCCAACATTTTTATGGTTAAAAGTCAAACATTCCTGGAAGGAATACATATCGCCCAACAGAGTTTTAAGCCAAGATGGTGTTATATTAGGACAGGACAGGACAGTTGTGTTAGCTTAGAGAAAGTGTTCAGGGAAACTAAGCTACTAATAAACTAGCTCAATATCTGTTACATTGATGGAGTTGTAGCTATTTTTATGTTTGCTAAAGCTGCTAAGCTTTAGCTGTCATCAGTTCCATATGTTCATCCATTGATTCATTGCTTGAGAGTTTAAAAATTGGTCCACTGGTTCATAAAACCTTTTGGCAACAGTACACACAGACATAAAACAATTCATGATCCAAATGATTATTTTTATTCTATTATCTGGTCTTAGTTTATCACAGGAGCAGTTCTAGGGGCGTGGCCACAGGGGCACTGACCCCAGCTGAAATCTGACTGGCCCCCAGAAGTGCCCCTGTCCTGTACTCATCTGTCCTTTACCTGGGGGTGATGATGGTGGATGCAGTTCCATGTTCAAACACTAGTTGTGCTAATGAGTCAAATAGTAAAGTCCAGAAAGAATCAAGCTGACAGAATTCTTCTCTTCTTAAAATGTGAACAATCCTGTAAAAAAGTCTATCAGCTGACAAATGATGGCTGGATTTTCTCACATGTTGTGTGTTCGAAAATATTTTATCTATGTACAGTAAAATATATGAAAAACTGGTGAGGAGAATTTACTTTGCAAGATTGTTGGTACCACTTTACAATCAAGCTCCCCTTATAGATGGCTTATAAAGAGTTTATAGACAGGTTATTAATTCATTTGTAAAGTTTACACTTCATCAATCATTAATAAATGAAACTGGACAATTTTGTCTCATTGTCATTAATTATTGCATAATAAACACTTAATAATCATTTTTAAAGTGCTTACAGATTAATTAATAACCTATCTATAAACTCTTTAAAAGCCTTATTGTGGGGGCCTTATTGTAAAGTGGTACCTTTTAAAAAATTACATTACATTAGAAGTGTTTGAAGTGTAAAATGTATACACTGGGAATTTGTGTGAAAGGATGTTAAACAAAGACTTGGCCCCTCTATGAATATTGTGGCCCCTTGATGGCCCCTTACTCAGAAAAATCCTAGATCCGCCACTGGTTTATCACCTTCAGCTGATTCTTTCCCTTCTCATTATTTTGTGCTGCTGAGGTCTGTTTCAGTTTGTTGCTGAAGTAAAACAACTTTGAGCTCAAACCTAGCTCTGTAAATTTCTTGGTAACTTATCACCCACCATTGAAAGGGGGCGATAATGTCTTTGTGTTGCCTTTAATGTTTCTGGCTCTACAAGCTGCTTTACAAGAGTTTTACTCTCCTCTGGTTTCCTCAGATCAGCGAGTGTTTGAAACCTGCAAACATTAACGTCACCTTTAAAGAGCCTTTTTGTGAACACCGGTGCCCTCATTTGCCTTTGCTCGGGGATTCGTACTCCACTCAGTATACAGTACACACTTGGGTTTTTTTTTTAGGATTTGCACAAATGTTCAGACAACAGAACCTCTTAATGTTAGGAACTTATGAACAAGACTTTCAGTATCTCTGTTGATTGGTTGGTAGTGTTGGGTAAATAACAGCAGTTCTCTTACCATGAGATAACCAACATATCCTCACAAATTGATTTGATTTATTTAACAGGAAAAGATTATTAAAAATCAAGCCTGACTCAGCATA